GTTTGTAGTTAAGAGAAGTTGATGTATTTTATTTTAATTTGATCAGAATTTTTGACTGCTGCAATCCTATTATTCTCAGCTGTTTATAGGAAGCAAAAATTACAAAGCTATTTGATGTTCTGTTTGCTGCAGGGCGTACGTTGGGCTCTGGAGCCTTTGGCCGTGTGGTGGAAGCAATTGCTCACAGCCTCAGCCATTCCCAGTCCACCATGAGAGTTGCTGTGAAAATGCTCAAGTGTGAGTTTGGACTGTTTCTTCTTCCTCCCAGCACATGGAAATACAAATAATCATGCTGTCTTCCATGCCTGGCTTTCTCCTTTAGGGGGTTTAACAATATGTTGTCATATTCATTGCTTATCTGCAGTAGTGGCCAAAATTGTGGAAACCTTTTGGGAAAAGTGTATAGTATTTTTGAGGTTTGATGGCTAATAACACCACTTTTTTTGAGTAGTATCATAAACTTAGATATCAATGGAAAGATAACTTAACTTAATCAAGAATGTAATGCAATAACTTTTATGGAAGATTTGTTATTAGAATAGAAGAAAGAAAAAAAGTGAAACACATGGAAAAAAAGAAATATACAAAAATTGTCACGTCAATTAATACTTACTTGGGTAACCTTTAGCATGAATTACAGCCTTACAACATCTTCCAACAGAGCAAACCAAATCTTTTAGTTCTGCAGCTGTTATAATGTGAAACCAAGATTGAATGATTGCTTCTATTAACTGGGTTTTATTTCTGGCTATATTTGGCTATCACTTTTCATAGAATACAGAGAATTGAACAATCTTTCTTGCATTACATTCTTGATTAAATTATATTCCCATTGAAATGTACTTTTATGGTACTACTGCAAAAAAAGTGATATTATTAGCCAGCAAACCTCAAAAATACACTTTTCCCAAAAGGTTTCTACAATTTTGGCCACTAATGTACCTTCCTATTCAATTATCTTTGGTAGCAATCCCATGGTATAAATAACTGTGTCCTTAATGTATACTGCTATCTAAATAATAGCTTACATGATTAATCTGGTTGAGTATCCAACAAGATCATCCCAATCTTCCTTCATGGATATGCCCAGTGTGGACTGCATTTTAAAGAAATATCTGTATTTCATTACTGTATTCATCCACCCTACAGCCACAGCCCGAAGCAGTGAAAAGCAGGCTCTGATGTCAGAACTGAAGATCATGAGCCACCTTGGGCCTCACTTGAACATTGTCAACTTGCTTGGTGCTTGCACCAAAGGAGGTACCGTTTTCATTTTAATCTCTTCAACACGGATACCTGTCTCTTCCGTTGCCATTTGCTTCCACATACTGGAATTGCTCTCTTTTGAATTGGCATGGAGTTTGGCAAATAGATGAAGATGTTCATGTTTTCATTACTTAATGAGCTATTCCTGTATGACTATTTTCTGAAGAGGACATAACCTGCCTTTTATCACCCTCCCAATTTCCATCCAGTGCAAATAAGAACACTACCATTTACCTCTTTTCAAACCACACATATTTCAGTTTCTTCACTAGAATGTGGACTTTTTTTTTTTAAACATCCCAGTTTAATATACAGCCATGGATTTCCCGGGTGGTCTTCCATCCAATTACTGATGACAGTTAACTATGTTTAGCTTTTCAAGATCAGCCAAGGCCAGTTGTGTGCTACCACTTAGTGAGTGCCGTTTGAATGAAACCACCTTTGATGTATAATGAAAGCTCTGTTAGTTTTATTGAATCCATTATACCCACAACTTTATTTGCTACTTTTAATATTATAGAGACTGTCCTGATCACAAAATAAATTCAAATGTTAATGGAGATTAGTTCTGAAAGTCCTCTTTTCTAAATGCATTGCATTAAAATTGCTAGCTGTCTTTCAATTATGCTGATAAGATTATGTAAATAGCCAGGTTTGTAAATAACATGACCATCATCTGATAGAGCTACTGCCACCTACTGAAATGTTTAAAATCACATTACGGTTTACGGTTAAATTATAACTTGCCTGTCCTGCCTACTTTTCCTGGTTTTGAACAGGTTCCAGTGTTAAGGGAGATATGCTAAACTATGTAATTTGTCAGGTATTTGCAACTCTTAAAGAAAAAAGAAACATGAAAGCAGTGAGAGGAGACAGGGTACCAGGAGCTGGTTCATATTCTCATCCAGTTAAAAGTTCTTGCTTTGTAGTGGAATAGTCAGCAGATGGCAGATGTGTGATATAAATGCTCCAAGAGACAGCAGCACAAATCTCTCTGTGCAATCAATATGTGCTTGATCATTTGTTTATAATCACTATTTTATTTTAACCTAATTGCAATTGCAATCCATATTGATTTGATCATATAGATAAATATATAGATTATATGGATTCAGATATATAGACACACAAACACACACACACACACAAACACACACACATGTGTTTGATCTATTTATATGCAGGACTCCTTGTGTCTCTTCATTGGGAAATGGAGTTTTGTGTCTTCTGTTCCACTACTTAGAGAAGAATACCAACCAATAAGCGTATGAATTGACCCATCTGCTGTAAGGAGAGGGTAATTTGGCCATCAGATATCCCCAAAATATCAACCCATTGTATTATTCCGATACTTGGCAATAATAATGATCTTTGACATAACATTATTGGTTTTTAATAAAGAAAATTAGACCTACATCTGGGAAATATCAGGTAATGTGTTATGTACGGAGGGATGTTGCACAGATTTGCATGTCACTACTGACTGATTCACCAAGCAGTGGGAATTTTAAAGCTCTGTCCATGGCTGGCTAGTCTGCCAGAGTTCCTTACATAGAGAGCTCCGGCAGTTTGCCGGCAGTTCGTATTGCAGCGGCTAGGGAAATAAAAGGTGCTGAAGGTTTCTGTAGCCCAGAGTCTATTCATTGTGCACCGATCTAACACAGGCAACAAAGGACAAAAGATTTGACCATCCAACTCATGGCATCCATGGTCATCTTATAGCAAGGACAACCCTGCTCTGGCATCACACACATCCCTTGCACCAGCAATCTTCGGCCCGCAATCCAAGGACTGGCACACCTACATGGGACGGTTCAGGATGTTCCTGGAGGCGAACAACTACCAGGATCTACCGGACAACCAAAATTGTGCCATTCCTCACATACTGTGGCACAAAGATCTATAAAATAGTGCAGACACTGATCGCCCCTGCCACCGTGGAAGCCACAACATAGACAACGTTGCAGGAGACCATTTTGTCCCGTCAACAACCCCCATGGTAAGATGCAATGAATTTTATCATGGGCACCAACAGGAGAAGGAAACGGTGACTGATTTTGTGGTCAGCCTACGGGAGATTGCCACCAAGTGCGAGTTCATCAACCCGGAGGAAATGATGAGGGATAGGATCTTCCTGGGGATGAGAGACCTCTCTCTTCAAAAGAAACTGCTAGTCCAGAGAGGGGTCACATTCAAAGACGCAGTCAAGGAAGCAAAGGCCATGGAATCCCCCAACAACTCCACAGCAGATATCTGGAAGACCAGCAGTGTCCATCACACCTATCAGGAACCTGACTAGACCACAGAAGTCCTGGAGTATAGGGATGAGTGGAACGACAATGAAACCATCCACCGCATCTATCCGGACAGAAGGGTAAGCCCCAGGGACAACAATTTCAAGCAGTCCCATTGCTCAGGCTGCATGGGGCTCCATGCGAGAGTGGCTTGCCAATTTAAAGAAGCCATCTGCCGCCTGTGCCAACAGTAGCACCACATCACTGAGGCCTGCAGAGCCACACAACCCATCCTGTTGGATACAGGGCTTCAAGGATTGCATTGAAAGAACCCAGGCTGCTTTTCTTAGAAAACTTCTGGGTCTTCCCCCTTGTGTTGGTTTTGCCCCAATGTACCTGGAACTGGGCATTCGATCGGTGGAATGTATGACCTGGATTAACAACTTTAAATGGTGGTTTCGGGTGCTTTTTCTGGCAGTTCCTGGCCACTACCTCTCCCTGGCATTTGCGGACTCCCATATTTCTCGCTAGGAGAAAAAGCT